TTTTAAACTTCGTAATAGGGAAATCCGCGGGGGATTTAAATATCCCCCGCGGGATTTAAATAAAGATGTCCGCCGCTTTTTCCCGGCTCTGGGAAAAGCCGGAAAAAAGCGTCTAGACTGGCCCGATCCTCCGGAATAAAGCCCTATTCTGGAGGATCTCTTATTCCTCTTATTTGAAGTAGGAATAAGAGATCCTCTGGAATAGGGCTTTATTCCAGAGGATCGGGCCAGTCTAGACGCTTTTTTCCGGCTTTTCCCCAAGCCGGAAAAAAGCGGCGGACATCTTTATTTAAATCCTGCGGGGGATAATTAAATCCCCCGCGGATTTCCCTATTACGAAGTTTAAAATTAGCATGCCCCTTTCGTAAAAGGGGTCAGTGTAGATGTAGCCCAAGGGTAACTCTTGGAGCTGATTTTTTCCAACATGAGCACAGTGGGCTTGCCTGAGACAAATATACATGGCCAGGTGGCGTAAGCAGAATCTGTTACTGATGCATGCTAGTTTGTAAGTGGAGAGAGGGGTCTGAAAGCATCGGTGCCCAAATGAGATTTTCTGGGTCACCTGCTATGCCCACATATGTCCATATTGTTCCTTCCTGTCAAAAACAATTGTAATTGCATTTTAAACGGCAAGTGCCATTCCAGGGAATTCTCTTATCAATGTTACTTGTGCCTCACTGCATCCTGTCCCTTCTCCCCCCTTAAAAAAAAAAAAAAAAAAAAAAAGTCTGTATAGAACAGACAGCATGTTAGATGTCACAGCAAAGTTTCCCCTTAGGACCCATCAGCTAACGCTCCACTTTTTTTTTGCATTTCCCAGGTCGGATCCGTACAAGGAGGCAAAGCTCTGGAAGTGCCACAAGTGTTAGCTCTACACCTGCCGATACCCGAGGCCGCAGCCGTGCTAAAGTCGTTTCGCAGTCCCAGCGTAAGAAGCTTTTCTTTTAATGGGCGAGCGGGGAAAGGGGCAGCGCTCATTAATATTCTCTCTTGCTTGTATTGTGGCCGTGCCAATGGGACCCCATTGTGCTAGCCACTGCATGCGCATATTGCAGAAAGGAGCTCACAGTTCAAGTCGTTCTTAAAGAATAGGGCCTGAGATTTAAATACTTAGGCTTAGAAATGGCTGGCATTTTGCTCAATGCGCTGCACAGCTGAAAAATTCCAGTCATGGAAATTTGTCATTGTGTATCAGACTAGATTGACTTAAATCTGTAAAGTACTCCCCAGTCAGACACCTTCCTTGTATCTGCAGCCTACTACTGTCTGTTGGTTTCCTGTCCTCCTAAGCTTCTCTTGCTTATGTTCTCTCATCTTGAGATGTGTAAAGCATGAGCTAAGTTAATGTGTAAAATGTCAGGGGTTGTTATCTTCTTATAGATTTAGGAGGAAAAGATGCACTCCCTGGTCCACAGGGCACATCCTGGCTCTGAAGTTCTGGTTTCCTTTCATGGCATGATTCGTGCATGTAAGGAGAGCAGAGTTTCTGCCATATGGATTGGAGAGGAGAATTTTGTCCTCTGGCTCAGAAATGTTTTAAAGGGTTTGCATATGAAAAGCATGTTTCCAAGAAGAGAAGGTGCCTCTTGATAGATTGAGGAGTTAAGTTTGCATGGTAAAGTGGGAAGAAGGCTCTTTGTTATGAGGTCTTGTCTTGGTTTGCAACCTTACTGCAAAACATCTGCTTTGTTCATGGTGTCTCTTCACTGAATGTCAGGTTAGAGGGGTGAAGGAACAGTTTTAAAGTCATTACTTTGGAGGTGGTTTCAAACAGAAAACCTCAAGTCTTGAACACCTCCATACTGTGGTGGTAACAGGCTTGGATTTGGGTGCCTGGCTCCATGTCCAGTCCACACAGGAAATGGCCTTTTCTTTGACTCCTGATCAGATGAACCTGAAATATCTCAAGCGGACTGCAGTTCAAAACGGTGGAAATCTGACTGAAGCAATTGATCTCTCAAGGTTTCTCTCATTTGGTGCTGAAATCTCTCAGGAATAGCATGTGACTCTTCAGGGCAGTCAAATATAAACCCAATCCCTATCTCTAATTTGGTGTCAAATCCTAACCCAGATCTGAACACCATCCGGATCTCAGTATCATCTCCTAGACCAACCTCTGCATGAAATAAACTGCTCTAGAGTGAAAATGTCACTAGAAAGTCTCCTCTGACTCACAGTCTGGGCAACCCTGTTGCCTTTTTCAGAGTAGCTCAGCTGTAAATTAGGGAGAATTTGGTTCACCATAGTAGGGATGTAAGCGACTAGTCCACTATTCGATAAGCAAAAGCTTATCTGATGGTCGACACACTAGTCAACTAATCGCTCTCCCTTCCGCTTCCTCTCTCAGAAAGAGGGAGCAGGGGAGGGGGAGGAGGGAGAGGCGAGGTGCTGGAGGGAGCCAGCTTAAAAGCTGGTTTCCTCCAGCCGCGTGGGAGGAGGGCATGGGCGCAGTGGTGGCGTTCCACCTTTGACATGTACAAGAGGCCCAACAGAGTCCCTTGCTGGCCTCAGGCTCCATGTGGCATTTCAGTCTTTGAAATGCACAGGAACCCCTCTTGTACATTTCAAAGACAGGACTCCATGCCTGGCACTTCTGCCTTTAAAAGGTAGCAATAACCGGGTGGGCTCTTGCCACATTTCAAAGCGGAAGTGCCCGAATCGAATAGTTGATGGAAATTCCATTGACTATTGGATTAATTGATCTAATTTTAACATCCCCATTCCATGGGTGATTGGCTTCACTCAAAGAAATGTGTGAGGCTGGGGAAATGAAGTGTCGGTGTGAAAATGTAGACAAGCTGGGCCCTGCTACTTGTGTGCACGTTAACTCACTGTATTTTGCAAATGCTTGGGAGCAACGTATGTTTGTAAATAAATCAGTTCACATTATCTATAACAATGCATGCTCAGCTCTATATTGTCTTACTGTCTTTTAATCCACTTTTTGCCTGTCCTTTGGTCTGCTCTCATAAACAAGGATCCAGATCAGCTAATCCTGCTGGTGGTAAGAAATATTTTCCGTTTCTCACACTTTTTCTCATGTGCTCTCTTTTCACAGTTGTTAACTGTTTTGACATCTAGGCCTCCCTAGGCTCCTTATTCACAGGAGAGGTTGAAAAGCCAAGTTCTTTAAATAAATTCAAAATGTCAGATTTGTATTATGGTTGCCTAAGCTTTCCATGTTAATAAATTCAATAAGCATACATTCTGTGTAGTGAGGGTATCGCTTTGTGACGCTACTGTAGGAATTGCAAAGAGGATCCTGTGATGTAAACCCTGGGTGTCAAATTGTTCCGAATCAATTCAGCCCTTTGAAGTGGAATCACACCAAAGTAACTGGGAGTATTTGTCCTTCTGGGTGCTGCATTACTGTAAAAGAGGAGGTACACATGATTAATATCAATTGCAAATGTTCGGGCTTTGGAGCATTCCCAGTGCCATATGTTGTATCTGCGGTGGCAGTGGGAGGGAACGACTTGAGAGCTTCAAAGTCTTTTCAAAATTTCAACTGCAGAGAATAGGAAAGGCCGAGTAAGCTTATAATGTAACGCTGATGGCCAGAGTTTGTTTCTATCAACCAATAAAGTTGTGTCAATTTTTACATTAGAGATTCCAGATCAATTTTCTGACTCATCTGTTACTAATTATGTGTCAATGACTCTTCTGATGGAAATTATTAGAGCTGTGTGAATATTAAAAAAATCAGCCCGTGAATATTATTCAGCTTGACTTTTTGCACAGCTTTCAGAGGTACTTTCCTTGGATAATTTAGTAAACAAGTGTAGTGAGAGGAGAAGTCTCAGAAACAGACTATTTTCAAGGTTATCTTTATACAGCTAAGGAAGCAAAATAGGGTCTTAAGCCCAGTTCTTTTAAAATCCTCTGTGCTTATTATCTTTAAGCAAACATCCAGGAGAATAAACTTTGCATTTGAAAATGTGAGTATTCCCACCAAAACTTAATTCCCTGAGTTTCTTTGATCTAGCCAGGCAACAGAAACATGCCATGGGAACCATGTGTCCAGTCAGAAATGCCAGATGCAGCTCTGATTTCAAATGTGAAATAATGAAGAGCTTGTATGCTCTGTGTGAATAAATATTGGTCAGGAGGCTGTTTGCGAAGATCAGAGTCTAGAAAAATGTGATCTGTTCATGGACAATTCAAACAGAAAAGTGAAACTGGCCAAATATTGCCATTTGTTACATATAATTCACCCAGCTGCAAACTTCTAGTTAAGCAATTTTAATTTCAGCCATTCACACAGATCTACAAAGTACATATTTGTGATCACAAGCTGTGGTAGCCATATCCACAGGGCTTCATATAATTGGGTTGTTTATCACCTTACTCGAATTCTGGGTCGAGATAGGGTTCTTAATTTTTCCCCACTGGATTATTTTATGTAAAAATTAGTTCTTTAGCTGCACTGGTCAGGCAACCTGAATAATACAAACCCAATTGTTGAGTTGTGCAGGGCCTGAGCCAATGTCCCTTGAAAGATTTCCATGTACTCTTCTGCAGCCTTTGGTCTATCCTGTAGATGGAACTCTTTTGATTCCAGGCCCTGTTTCAAAGTGTTTAAAATGCCTATTTTGAATTTTCCAAAAGATTTATCACGCTTTCTTACTTCTGGTTCTTTTGTAGCTGGCAGCCGGTCTAGTTCCCCAGGCAAGCTGCTGGGAAGCGCGTACGGTGGACTGACCAGCGGAGCAGCCAGAGTCCCACCAGTGCCATCATCCTCAGAGAAACGCAGCAAGATCCCTCGAAGCCAGGGATGCAGCCGAGAGACAAGCCCCAGCAGAATAGGACTAGGTAAGAATTCTCTCCGCTGTGATGCCTCAGTGAGCTTGCGCAAGGGCAGGTTATTCGTGCTAACAAGGAAATGACACAACTGCGTTTTACCATTGTACGCTTTTCAATCCTTAAATTACAACATTAATTACCATGTGTAGAAACATGATTAGGGAGTCATTTAAGTTTTCCACGTTGATTTGTGTTTTCAGCGTGGGTCAAAAGAGTGGAGGATGCCCTCTATTCAAAATAGCTGCATCGTCTTTGTTGTTTCTGAGTCAGGATGAGGAAAGCATTAAGTGAAGGAGAGAGCCCACCGTTACAAGAATCTCAGGCTTAAATAAAGCTGAATGGCCCAGTCCTGCAAGGAGCTGAGCAACTTCTGTGAAATGCTGAACACCCTGGGAAGTGATTAGTCAGAGAGCACTCAGCACCTTGCAGGATGGGGAGTCATGTTTCTAAATTTGGCACGCTGAACAGTTTGTGCTTCACCTTGTATATTCTGGAATCTTTTATTAGAGTGCATTTTAGAGTCACTTGCTAAGTATTTTGCTCACAAATATTTTTGTATATGTGTAAATGTACTGTGTGCACTTTTATTTTCAAGTTTACCAGCAGGCTCTCTAATTCAATTTAAATCAATTAAACAAACATAATTCCTGAGATGTTTACAAACATAGTCTTCCTTTTGCATGAAAGCAGAAATTAGTCTCTATATATGTTCTTTGGAGAAGCCAAAGCTATACTCATTGCTGCTAATTTTGTTGATCTAAAATGTATTTGAAGAAATGTACTAAAGGTTATGTGGGGAAATAAATTCTTATAAATGATTTTTTTCATTAAAAAGTAATATAGTTTTACAGAATTCATAAGAAGTTGCAAGTAAGCCGCTTGTGTGAAATTGTAGCTTTATTGAAATAAATGAGAGTTTTTGCCATTGCCTTCAATAGGGCTAGGATTTCAGCCAGTGTATTTTAAATGTAAGTCCACTGTTCAGTTTATAGCATATTAAATGTCACCATAGGCATAGAAGCACTCCTTCTTTATTTATATTTCAGATTTATTGAAATGATCTTAGTAGATCTCTCTAAGAGCATATCCTGAATCATCATCCATTAGATTTTACCAAAATATGGTGAATATTTTTCAAAGTTCAAATTTCTTCTCCCTGTTGTTACCTGTTTTTATTATTTATGTATGAACATATTGTGCTCTTTTGTTTAATGTTTTAAATATTCAAGCTGCCCCATTATCTATTGAGGTTAACTATCTGCTGTCATTCTGCAAACTAGTACTGTCTGCTAAAATGAAACGAAGCGATAGCATCATCGTGTTTCTGTTTATGCTTCTAATCACATTATGTGGATTATTTTGAAACAATTCTTATTATCCGAAGGAAATTTATTTTGCACAAATCACTCTTGGGTTGTGTGCATTCAGGTAAATGATGGGAGCCTTGGAGAATTCCATGTAACTTGTAGCCCATCACTCTTCCACGCCTCCACAGCAGAACGTATCAGTGCTCTTTCCTTGGCAGTGCCAGGATTCTGTCAAATCTGTCAGTCTTCTCTTTCCTTCTGGGTTACTGGTTGAAGCCTCCTCTGTGGAATCAGGGTGGGGTTTTGTTTGTTTGTTTAATTTTTTTGTTTTGGTTTAGTTTTGTATTGGTTTAATACCCAAATGTAGAAACCCTTTTAGAAACTGGACCCTGTGTAATGCAATAAAGTTTGTTTGGATTGAATTATACTTGAAAAGTTAGTTTAAGATCTCTCCGTCCTTTTTACAATGCCCTCCCCATGTATTAATTGCCCTGTGTTTTTCTTAAATTATTTTGTATTTTACTTTGTCAGGAGTCTCAGATCTTTTTTTACCCTCCCTAATCACAGAGCGTCCATTTAATCAGCTAGCACCTCCTACCCGACACATCGCAAGCATATTGATAGGCGCTCTCATGCTCTGATTTAGCCAAGCTCTTAAGTATGTTAAACAAGGGAGTAGTTCATTGGCTTGAATGGGACTTGTTCATATTCTTAACATTATGCACATGCTTAATTACTGTTTTGAATCGGAGCCTTAGCTTTGAGGGAAGTGTTAATGAGTAGTAAATAGCTTGATTTTCAAATGTGCCCAGCTATTGCAGCTGCATTCGTGTTCATTAGTATTGAAAAATCAGACCATTAGCTTAGGACTCCTGGATCCTATTTTTGGCTTAGTCACTGACTCATGTGAATTTTGAGTAACTAATTTAGGGCCAGATTATGACCAATCTGTTGTATACACAAGAGAGAGAGCTCACTCCTTCTTGTGCCACCACCAGTATACTCCAAGGGCCATCCACGAGGGCAGATTTTATGCTCCTCTGGGGGCAGAGACTGTGTGAGGTTAGTACTGTAGTGGTAATGGGGGTACAAGTCCTTTCCTGGCCTCTTTCCCCTTCCTTACTGGTGAGGAGTATAGCAGTTGTGTGCTTCCCTTTTTTGACAGACACCTGTGATATGTACTGTGTCTTTGTAAGTTATCATGTCTCTTTGAGATTCTCCTGGGCTGGTCAGGCTCCATGCCACCCCCAAAATCACACTGGAGGTCCAGGAATGAAAGTCCCCATAGAAAGAAAATGCATTTGATATGGAAGGCATTGCTTCAAGCAGCGTCGTTAGGAAGACCAGTGTTGCCTGTGCTTCGCAGGTATCTCAGTGAGCATTCTCATATATATGAGTTAGCACTGTCATACGTATCTTGGTTAGCATTACACTGAGTAGATGCTGTGAGATTAAACAATCCCCTTCTCTGTGGAGAGTTTTAAATTTTAAAATAACATGCAGGAACTTAGCTGTTTCCTGGGGTGCTGATGATGGGTTTGGGAGCTGAGTAACTAACTCCCCGTGCACCAATTGGATTCCAAAAGGATCATAAATATTCAAGAGTAAAGTTTGTTTTCCTTCAGAGTGGGTAGCTAATCAACCTGCTGGTATGGTAGCAGGCCCAGTTTACCATCACAATCACAGAACTTTATCTCCTCAGAGCTTTCCGTTCATCTGCTGCAACGAGCAAGGGAGTTCTGGAACTAGGCTTCTACCAGCTATATGCAGCCTTTTTGCTGTGGGTGTTATCTGGGGGCTGTTTAAGCAGGTTTGGCAGAAACTTTGAGATGCTGCCTTTCCTGCAAAAGGGACAGCATAGAACCCAGCACTGGGCCCTTAAGATCTACTTGAACTGTGATTTGTGTAAGTCAGGTGTCTTGCATACATTAGATCAGGGTTTCCCAACCTATGGGTCGGGATCCAAATATGGGTCGCCATTACATTTCAAAAGGGTCACCAAGTGTCTCCCCAGGTGGCTTTGTCCTCCCTCCTCCCCCCGTTTTTGAATTGCCTTGGGTCACCAACTCTTCCTGAATTGTCCAAATGGGTCCCCACCTGGAAAAGGTTGGGGACCCCTGTATTAGATGGATGACTAAGGAAAAGAGCCAGATCCTACTGGTGGTCACATAAGTCAACTGTTTGGCTTTCCTAGGACTACAGCTGGTCCCCGACTTACAAACGCATCGATATACAACCAACTGCACTTATGACCAGACTCCCATTAAGCTCGGCCCTGACTTACGAATGGTGATCCACGCTTACGAACAGTGCCGTCCCATTGAAATGAATGGGGCCCGACTTACGAACACATCGAGTTACGACCAAGTGCTTGGAACGTAACTCGTTCGTAAGTTGGGGACCGGCTGTATCTAAAGGAGTAAGACAAGTCCGCTATTGCCATATAGCTTTCTAATAACAATCTCCTCCTCATGCCCTTTTAGATTAGATGGAAAGTTTGTAGTATACAGCATGGCTCCGGAAAGTCTCCCTTGCTTTGACACCACTCAAAGTTGCACCAAAAGCTGGCTCTCAACATAGTGGGTGGCCAAGGTGAATTAATTTTTTTTTTTTAAGAAGGCCCCATTTCCCCTGAGTGAAAATAGCCGATCCTGCTGTCTTCCCCTTATCATTTTGTCTCTCCCCGCGCTTTAGTTTTCCTTCATTTTGGAATTTGACTGGCCACCTGCCTTATGCTCCATACTTTTTGGAATGGGATCCTAAAGTTAAGCCTTCAGGCTGTCTGGCTTTTTTCTAGTTGGATGAGTTCTTCCTGCAGACAGACTCCCCTTGGAATCACAACAACTCCTGAAATGTGGCATCCTTTTCAGCCAGTGTTTGTCTTGTCCTGTTCAAGGCACTATAGAATTGCAGGATAAATCACTGGGAGTTAATGTCATTTTTCTTTTTTGTGGTCCTTCTGTTCATGTTACTCTATTTCCAGCAATATTAATGTCTCATTTTTCTTGTTGCTTGGGTAATGTGTCCAGTGAGTGACATCACATCTCAGTATTCTGTTTTGATTTGTAATTTCCAAGAGTACAAATGCCTCATAATGCATGTAGGCTTTTAAATCCATAAATAAAGGAAAACATGATGCCTGTATATCCCACTGAGAATATGTTCTAGGCCTAGGGAATTTAAATCAGGAAGAAGACTGACAGATGAAAGATGCATTTCATAAAAGTACTTGTGATAAATGAATGCCTATGCAAACTGCATCCATGTGAAGGTTGTCAATATTTACATGTAAGCATGTGACCCAAGAGTGAACAGTCCAATTTTTAGAGAACCCCATAGTTCTGAGTGTGTATATTTCTCATGTAGCTTACCTCTGGGAATTTTCCTTTCACCTATAGCTCACTCTTAGCTTCCTGTCCCTGCCGTTTATGTATATATTTATATTTGAGGTGTCTGTATTTTTGGTCCTAATTTCATTCACTCCATGACAGTCCTACTTATTATAATACCACTGCTCTCTGTCATTCATAACTTTCTAGGCTTCTGGGCCATGGTGGTGTTATAATCAAGTTGGTCTGTAGTTCGTCTTGTATTGTTCAACATCAAAATTTGGACATCAGAACCATTAATTTATCAAAGAGGTTAATGAGTTGGGTTTTGGAAAACTGGGAGGAATTTGAGAAAGTAGGCATCTGGCAATGGTTTATATCTGAATTTCTTACTCTATATGAGAAGGATTCTATATTGTCCTGTACTGTTATACTCCAGTGGATACTTTGAAGGGTGTTAGACTCAGCAATTAACCACTAACATAAAAACAGATGATTTACTTCTAACTCTGTCCTCCTCATCCCTAATATTCTAATCTTTAGTAATGAGGACTGCAAAAATATTCAATTCACGTTTCTTGGTGATTCTACACAACTGGTCCCAGAGTGCTAAATTTTTCCATTACCTTGGTTCTGTTTGCACTGTCCCCCAGCACCTTTAGGAGTGAGCAGGCACTATCAACATTTACAAGAATTTACGTATTAAGGCCGAGGTGGCAACCTGCAAGCCGAGAACCACATGTGGCCTATCGAGTTCCGTGTGTGGCCCAAGATACATTTTGTTCACCGTTGCCCACATGCAGAGTTGCCAGATTCCTCTGGTTTCAGTCCACATAGTTTTTTCCTATCCGTATTACTAAAGTGACACGCATGTAAAGCAAAGGCACGTGAAGTGAGGTACGTGCTGATTGTACATAACGTTGGCTGTGAGAATCGTGTGCTCCCTCTGTGTCCAATTGAAGCGCTGCTATGCTTCAGTCGGCGCACACTGCAAATTCTAGTTACTCAAGCACAGTTAACAAAACTACCTATCCCAAGAGACTGTCTTGGTTACGACAATCTTGCAGCCCACTGAGACGAAGCAGGGTCACTGATGTGACCCATTCGCTGGCCTAGGTTGCCCACCTCTGCTGTAAGGCATGCATAAGACTTAGTTTTGCAAATATGAACATCTTGCTCTGCACTGAGAATGGAGCAGACAGGCAAGAGTAGGTGACAGCACTATGGTATGTGCCTCTGCACCTTTGCCATCCAGATTAAAGCTAAAGGATCTGATTTTAGTCCGGGCACTGTGGACAGTTCCTTCAGGAACTTTCCTAGCTGCTCATTTAAAAATAGCTACTTTCATTTCCAAAGACTAGGACAGTGAAAAGAGACTGTACAATCATTAAATTATGCAAGGTAAACTCACGGTGCTTAATTGTAACTCAGGTTCTCTTTGTTACATATACAAATGTGATACTGTGCATTCTCTCTTATACAGAACTAATTTAGGACTCATTGGCATCTGCTACCCTATCCAACTGCAGTAGAGATTTCAAAGAAATAAACCAGTTACAATTTACATGAGGCAGTTTTGCTGCTGTTCAGTCTTTATCCTGTACTCAAATTATTGGAATTAATAGTGTGTCCGAGATCAGAATCTGGCTCAGTAAGGCTATGTCTACACAGCAGTGCTATTTCGGAATAATTGACGTTATTCCAAAATAACAGTCTGTGTCTATACTACAAGTAGTTATTCTGACATAGTGTCAAAATAATGGTGAGTTGGAGGACGTCTTGCTCCAATTCCTGTAACCCTCCTTTTACGAGGAGCATGGAAAATCAGAGGAAGAGTGCTCTGTCTCAGACTTTCTGCTTTGTGGACAGTGCCAAAAGCTGAAATAAGCTATTTTGACTTAAGCTACACAATTGACGTAACTGAAGTTGTGTAGCTTATTTCGGCTTTAGCCCTGCTGTGTAGACATGCCTCAAAAGTTATGTTGGGGAAAGGAGTGCAAGGAGTATATTTCTGCTTTTAGATAGGGATGTGAATGGTTAACCAGTAAGATTCACTGTTACTGGGTGATGTGCACCGGTTATAGATTAAACAGTTAAACATAACATTTAAACAGTTAACTGATTAAATAGGATTTTACATCTGTACTTTTAGCTGTATTGGGCAATAAAAAATTAGTCAGCTTTTGGTAAAAGGACAGAAACAATTGAGACACATGTTGTTTTAGGATTAAAATAGCTTTGTAACCCTCTCTATTCACAATATTGCTCAAGGGGAAATTTACCTCTGTAAATCTGTACACTTCAATTATTTTCCCCCAAGAAATTTGACCATAAGAAAACTATCCTTGCAAAAGCCAAACATACACAGAAATGGCTTTTTCTTTTGTGGCAGTTTTTTTTTTTTTTTTAATTCTGATCATGTTACAAATGCTTTCCCCTTCTTTTAAAATACTGTTTTTCTTGTAAGTAAGCAAAATCCAGAAAGGTTTCTTTTAGCCTCTGCTGTTTTGCATGCTTCTGTAGCAGCAGAGCTTAGCCACTCATTTAAATGAATGAAGATCTCTTGCTCTACTCAAATAACAAAGCTTGGATTGCTTGTGAGAAAAACATACTGCCCACCAGATAGTTGGTGGTACTGAATCTTCAGGTTAAAAACACAGCTCAGAATGTAGTACAGTTGGTTTGTGAAAAGCCTGAGGTGGCTGTAGCAGATGAGAATTACTGGTGTAATTATTACCTTAACTAACAGAAATGTGACTTGACTTACTAAGCTGTCTGTCCTCATTAAACTTGTTCACCTTCTCTGAAACTCTCCATGCTGCATGCTAGCACGGAGCAGCCGTATCCCCCGACCCAGCATGAGTCAGGGGTGCAGCCGCGATACCAGCCGTGAGAGCAGTCGAGATACAAGCCCTGCTCGGGGCTTCCCTCCACTTGGTGAGTACTTGTAGGCATTGGAGCTTTAAGGGTCGATTTCCCTTTCCCCGTTCTGATTGTCTGTTCAAGACACTGCCAGGTGGAATGAACTTGTTTTCTTCCTCTGTTCACTTCCTTACACTCCCCCCTTCCAGCCCTGCTTCCTCTTTATTCTCTTCTGCATGTTTCAATTCTGATTCTCAGTGTTTCCTTGTAGTAGAAAGTCCCTTGATCCTGAACTCCTGTGATAATTTCAGTTTAAGTCCATTTGTACAGAACGCTGCTGTGTTTCACCTAAAAAGACTGTGCTAGTGTTTTTTGATGGATAACTGTGCAAGGAATCCTACTTGTGCAGCTCAGAGTATGGCTATTAGCACCACGAAGCCTATTGCAGAGAGACTTTAATTATACCCAAATTGATCTGAAAGCTAAATAGAAAAAGAGAAACCATAATGTCACACTAAACTCCAGTTGAGAGATCAAACTTCGTTTTATTTAAAAGTGCTATACACTGCTGTTAGCCGCTGATTTGTAAGTTGGAAATGCCATTGTGACAGAAATTCTCCTCAAGTTTGAGCTTTTTGCTCTCTGAAAGGTTGAAGGCTTTAACTAACATGGTCTTTCAATTTAAACGTACAGTACAAATATAAAATCTCATTATGGATTATCATATGCAGACATTTTTGTTCTTCAAAGGCCTGAAACAATAGGATAGTTAATGTTTCTGATCAAATGTCATATCATATCTGTCAGAATATATCACCTGTTGTACAAAAGAATTGTTTGTCATCTCAGGACAAAATACAGTGGATCTCTTTCTAGTTCTATAGCTATGGGTTTGGTTTTCAAAGTGGGGGAAAGAAATTACGATGGATTCAGTTGTCAGGGTTGGCATATGCAAAAGCTGTAGGCTCTAGCTTTATAGCTGGTGACATAGTGCAACTTTATGGAATATTGCATAATTGGAGCCAGAATACCAATTTGGGCTTGATATAACTTTAATTTACAAAATTAGAGCCAAGAGTTGCAGAAGTAAATGAACTGAGGTATATGGGGATTATGCACTCCAATGAGACCAGGAAGGGAGGTAAAACAAAATGGCTGAAATGCTCCTCTTTGGTCCTCAACTCTGATCATTCTTTTCATTCTGTGTTTGTACAGTATGTGGGTAGAGTGAAATGTGAAAGTCGAGATTTGCAGGGTAGATCAGAGGATATTTTGCTTAGTGATAGAAGAAAAGTACTTTTGGCCGAAGTGCGATATCGGAGAATACTATGCTAAGTCGATTAAACTGCTATTTCTCTGAATTTTCATTGACAGCTGACTAACTTGTTATGCTTCCTGATTAATCTTGGTTTTGGAACTGAATTATTAAGAATGTAATTGGAGTTTCCATTATTGGTTTTATCAGTTAATCTTGGGCTATTATTTAGGACTTGATCCAACCCCTGCCCCACCAGCAGAGGGAGAGGGGAAAGGGGGACAATTGTCTAGCCACATAGCTTATTTAAAAGGGCCCAGGCGCCCCCAGTTGCCATCGGCAGCTACATGCTGCTCCCGAAAGCGGCCCACACATCCCTGTGGCCTCCAGGGTGTACTCCACCCC